TCTTCAGGATTAAAAATCATATAAATTTGTTACAAATAGTTGAGTATTTAATAAAATATAAACATTTTAATAAAAAATTACGAATGCTTTAGTAGTCGGACACTTTTTCCCCTTGTTTCTATAGTCGGACATCTGTCAAATATTTTGAATTTATAAAGTAAAAAAGATAATTTTTTAATTGCTAACTGCTGGAAAATGGAATTAAATCATATTAGAAGTTTTTAATATAATATTTAAACCCTATAAGTTTTAATATTTATGATTAATTATCAACAAAACTTTGTGCCACTCATCGCGCTACTCGAAAATGGTTGTATCTATAGTCGGACACCATGATTTTTAAAACATTAAATAAAATATTTCTTGTTTAATTATTTTCGAAAATAACACTATTCTAATAAAATATAAACTTCACACATTCGTCTAGTATACTTTTTAAAGTAATTATCACAATGCATTATTATTTATTTGCCAAAAAACACGAAAGTGTCCGACTACTAGTACTGTCCGACTATACCCGCACTTACCCTATATTGTTTATAATGCAAAAAAATTATTTTTTGATCAAATAATTTTAATATGGTTCGAATAAATATTTTTGGTTCACATAAATATTATTTGGTTCAAATAAATTGTTTTAGTTGAAATAAATAATAAATAATTGGAATTTGGTTCTAATAAATATTATTTAGTTCAAATAAATTGATTTTAGTCAAAATAGATTTTATTTGGTTCAAATGCGAAATTAAATTTTTATTTCGTTTTTGGTTCAATAATAAATTGCTGTTGTGACGAATAAAATTTCGATTTTGTTTTTGGATTAAATAAATTATTTTTAATTCAAACAATTTTTATTTGGTTTCAAAAAAATTGTTTTTGGTTCGTTTAGTTTTTTTTGGTTCAAACCGTTTTTATTTGGTTTAAATAAACTGCTTTTGCGCCGAATATAATTTTTATTTAGTTTTTTGATCAAATACATTGATTTTGGTTCAAAAATATTGGTTTTGTACCGAATAAAATGTTTTAATTTGAATGGAATAAATATTTTTGGTTCAAATAAACATTATTTGGTTGAAATAAATTGTTTTTAGTTTAAATAAATACTATTTTGTTCAATAAAATTTTTTGGGTTCAAATAAATAATATTTTGTTAAAATAAAAATTGTTTTTAAATTAAATTTACATTATATGGTTCATAATAAATTCGTTTTAGCCAAAATAAGTTTTACTTTGTTCAACAGATTTTAATTTGGTTTCGAATGAATATTTTTGGTTCAAATGAATTTTATTTGATTCAAATAAATTGTTTTTTGTTCAAATAATTTCAATTTGCGTCAAACATATTGTTTTTGGTTCAAATAAATATTATTTATTTAATATTATTTTACTTAATATAATTTTTACTTTATAACAATTATTTTGGGTAGAAAATATTATTTTTGATTTAAATAAATTATTTTTTCTTCATATAAATTATTATTTGTAATTCAATTAAATTATTTTTGGTTCGAAGAAATATTATTTCGTTCAATAAAATTAGTTTTAGTTCAAAAAAATATTATTTTGTTAAAATAAATTATTTTTATGTCAAATAAATATTATTTGGTTCGAATAAATTGTTTTTTAGATGAAATAAATTTCATTTGGTTCAAATAATATAAATTTGGTTGGAATAAATAATTTTTTGCATTTTATAATTTCCATTTGTTTCAAATATGTTGTATTTGAGACAAAAAAAAATGTTTTTAATTTTAATAAATAATTTTTTGCCAAAATAAATATTATTTGGTTCAAAAATTAACTTTTTTTGGTTCAACTAAATATTATTATTATTAAAATCAATATAATAATTATACAATGTTTTCCTAATTAAATATAAACATAAAATTATGCATTTTGTTGCAAAAAAAAAAAAATTTTATTAAAAACTGATTAAAATTTACTATAAAAAAATTGATGAAAAATGATGAAAAATTGATGAAAAATTGATTTGAAAATGACTGAATTCTAAACACTGATGACATCATCTTATATATGTCACGTTTTTTTCTCTCAATAGGGATCTCAATAGGAATGTTAAATTTATTGCGCATTGACTAAATTTTTTCGTTAAATAATTTATAGAAAAATATCAATTTTTACTAAGTAAAAAAGAACTGAATTTAATTTTTCTTTTCTTTTTTTTATTTTTCAGAAAGTGTCACTGCGAGGTATTTCTAAAGCACCGTTACATGTCCGAAATAACATATTTTATGTGTATTAGGACCCCGAAACTTTTGATGCAAAAAGATATCGATACTGAGATTATAAAATTTTGCTCTTGCGAAAGCGAGAGCCACTGTCTTCCCCTTCCTAAAAAAAACCATCTCACGTGGTCCCAATATTTTCCAGTCTCTCGTTCACGGCGCCACGTAAACGCAATCTCATACATATTTACAATATTCCATATATTAATTTTCATATTTTTATTCACAAACAAATTTTTATTTTCAATTAAATACGAAAATTTATTTTTGTTTTCGTTATTCTTCTTCTTGAAATTGGATTTTGAAGCGCGAGACGACTCGAAGTAGAGAGAAATAAATAATTGTGGATAAGAATTTAGAAAAAAAATATTATAGAGAACAATTTTTGTATTTTGTTTGTGTATTTTGTTTATTTTATTTTTCTTGCTATTTTATTTTTGTAATTTTTTGTATTTTATTTTCGTATTTTTTAATTTTCGTTTATTTTATTCTTTTCTGTATTTTACTATTTTATTTTTGTATTTTATTATTTTATTTTATTTTTGTATTTTATTAATTTTATTATTTTCTGTATTTTATTATTTTATTTTTGCATTTAATTATTTTATTCAATGTAGTATTATAACTTTCCTTTTTTTTTACTTTTGTTGTTTTATTTATTTTACTATTTTATTTATTTCATTATTTTACATTTTATTTAATGTGAAATTAAAACAAAGTCTCCGGTTTTAGGTGTGAAAAGAAAAAAAGAAACTCTCTGTAGATTGCGGAAGAAAAGGAAGAAAGGAAGTGCGGTGCGATAAATATTATAATCGGAAGTTGACAGCAAAGTTTTTATTGTTTCGGAGCGCACTATTTAAAAAAGCATTAAGCGCAATCACACGTGACAAATACGTAAGCAATATTTACCGAAAAAAATTTTTTTTTCTCTCATTTTAGTGGGAGTCAACATTTAAATGACGTGAAACTATATATGCACACTACAAATATTACCTCATCTCAATTAAAACATAGAGGGAAAAAAAAATTCTTCCTCCTTTTCCTGCATATTTATTGAAAGACGAGTATAATAAAAATTGACCTTGACACTTGGAAAAGTGAATCTTGTATATTCTCAGAGAGCTAATCATTTGCACTGTTTCATTTTATAAAGTTCGTGATATCTCTTTGGATTGCGCGAGGCGCATACAATTCTGCTTTCTACAGAGAGTTTCTGTTACAGTTGAAGCAGTATATTCTCTGGTCTCCAGACAGTAAATTGTGATAACACGATACGTTCGCGAATCAATATTACATGTGTGTATATAGGCGAAGTTGAAAAAATATTTAATTTTCTCTATACTATTTGTGTGTGCATTAAAAGTTTTTTTTTGGTTATATTACTGTGATTTTAAAGCCCGGAAAGATAAAAAATGGAGATTGAAGACTTGCCGAGAATGACAGCATTGTCACCTGGATGCAGTTTGCCGAATGAAAAGAAAATAAAGACCATGTGCGAGGTATGTATAATATAATTTGTCAGTGTTATGAATATAAGTGAGGAGAGATTAAACTTTTCATGTAAACTTGTCTATCGCGCGCCAATGAAACTTGGCAACAGCGTATTTTAAATGCGCGCATGTCCGCGCGGGCAAAGTTCAACTTCTTCTTCTCTTTTTAATTACACAGTATAAATTTTTATTACATTCACTAGAAGACGTAAAAGTGGGTTTTTTTATAGGAATTTCGCGAAGGAAATTAATACAGTAGAATTATTCGTTGAATTGATATAATCGTGTGAGGGCTTTTTGGAAAAAATTGTAATAACTTGTGAATTTCAAAAATATGACTTTTAACAATGTTTTATCGACACTTTGCGGTAATAACGAGAACTGTCATATCGACACGTGAAGATTTCTACTGTATCAAGAAACTTTCAATGACTTTATCAACGAAGATAATTTCTGAGAATTTTTTTCTTTTGATCATACAATGATTGACTGCAAAGGTTTTTATTATCTTTTTATCTGCTTTTGATATAATTAACGTATTAAGATATCGCAATTGACCTATCAAGAATCTATCAAGTGACGTAAATTGTTTATTATAAAAATAGATGTATCGGAAGTTTTATAGAAAAAAATTATTATCGACACTTTTTGTTGATAAATTTAATTTATTTTTATTTATTAAAATATTATTAATTTCATATTAATTTTTATAATTTTTGAATTTACGAATTGATTTTTATTTTCTGTTTCATTTTTTTTTTATTTTATTTATTGATTTTTATTTATTTATTTAATATTATATTCATTTATTCAAAATTATTTAGAAGAAAAAGGACAAAAATTTAATTTATTTATTTTATTATTTTCTGTTATTTCTTAAATTTATTATTATTTTATTTGTTTTATTTATTAATTTAATTAATATTTTTTTATTTAAAAATATTTAGAAAAAATAGAAAAAAAAATAATAATTTAAAAAAAGTTACCATCTGCAGTGTATAAAACAAAGAAAATTGAAATATGTGCGCTATTGAACAATTGCGAATATGAATTTCATCATTAACAATTGTTGAAAAAAAATCACATAAATTATCAAAACTTTTTTTCAAAGAAAAATATAAATATTATAATCAAGTAACTAATGAACATTTAATTTGCATTTAAATGCAAAATTAAAATTTTTTTTATTGTAAATTTTCATGAAAATTTATTTTCGCGGGGGTTAAAATGTAATTGGCACGACCCTGAGACCGACGTTGCCAGAGTGATTGCTGAGTCACATATCGTGTGCGATCTCACTTTAAGCAAGGTGTGTAATTCCGTTTGTCCGTTAAATTGCTGTGTTTTAATCATTAAATCGAGTGTATATTATGAAAAATATTAACGAAAATAATTTAAATCACACTCCAAAAACAATGGTCTAATTAAAGAATTAAATTAAAGGCAGGTCACACGCACCTCGAATATTCTAACAACAATAATAAATAAAAACTCGGTGTATAGTGCTCCAAAATTTTCGAGGCCGGGTTTTGTCGTCGTGACCTGTCAAGCCTATCTTGCAAGTCAAATAAATTATGCGACTCGTGCATGGTGTCAGTGATAAAAAAGGAATTGTCAGTGTTTCCTCATCTAGTGTGTGCTCACAATATTTGCCAAAAATCATTGTCCATTGTTTTGTGTGAAATCGTGTGCCGAGTGCAGTGTGCGAAAGCTTGACGTGGCCCCCAGTGTATTTTTTGAGGTTATTTCTGTACTCGTGTAACTGACCTATACCCATCGAAAAGGTGGACCCACCGAACTCTTTATTTCCAATCCACCATCCCAACGAACAGGTTGATTGTCTTGTGATCACCTCTCTTTCTCTCTATCTCTCTTTTGGATCAAATTAGTGGAGGAAATACTTTTCGATTTTTCCAAGGAGTAGGAGTATAATATAATCAAAAGTCCCACCATAACCTCAAAAATCAGCTGTCAACGCTTCTTTTGAATGCTTGTTTTTCGAGTGTTCGTGGTTTGTGTTTACAAATAAAGTGTGCAACGAAACAAATTAGTGCTTCCCGATGGATAAATTGTGACGTTTCTTATTTAATTTCATTGAAAGAAAAATGTTTTATTTGCTAATTGTTTTCAACACCAGAGCTAATCCTCTGTGATATAGCAATTTTAAAATCCAGAAAACTTCCAAAGAAAAATTTTTGTTTTCTATATAGGCGTGTGTGTGTTTGTCTATATTAGAATAATTCTGTGATAAATCGAGAGAAATAAGGAATTTTAGAAAAAATGCTGAGCCTAAAGAAATTTTATCGTGAGGAGCTCCTTCAGCTCGCATTGCTTCTCTCATTGCTGCGAGTGGATCCTGATGCTTATTTAGGATTAGATATACAGACAATTGGTGTTGGATCATTGGATTTAAACAATGGATCGGGTTGGCATTTGGACGCCCATACAATTGTGCATCGGCCCGTGTTTGTACATCCAAAAAATTTGGACTCGATGCTTCTTAATTATGAGAGAGATATATTTGAAGACTTAAATTCACTGGGTAGATACAATAGATTGAATAGTGCACCAAATGATATACACGCGTATTTATTAAATATCGAGGAATCGGGAAGAGACGCACCTGAACCTGGACCAAGTATAACAAATTCAACAGATCTTTCTAGGAATGTTACCTCACCTGAAACACCGACTTTACTTCAATCACCTGCTCAACCTGACGGTGCATCAGAATTAACACAAGAGGTATTTTCTTCCGAAAATTAATTAGATTATTAAAAAAACAATAGGATTTTATTATTAAAGATTTATATTTCTATAAATTTGATCAATTTCTATAAAATTTTACGTTTTTATTTGAAGTACATATAAATAGAAATTTTGTTTACCTTATATTTTGACAGTTCAAAATTGAACGAATATTTTTTCTTTTCTAAATATTTTCAACAAATTAGAATAAAAATTTACAAAATAAATCCAATATTTATAAAAAGGAAATAATTTTCTAAATTAAAAAAGAAATTCTTTTTTCTAAAATTCAAATTTTAACGAAAAAAAATTTATTTTGAACGTTCGAATCTTTACAGAAAAGATTTTTGTTTCTATTTTTTAAATTTTGAGCTAACAAATTTTTATTTACCGTTTTATTTAAATATATAATTATTTTATTATTTATTTATTTTATTTTTTATTGAATTCCTTTTTTTATTTTCAATTCTAACGGTAATTTTATATTTTAAATAAAATTTATTTATTTAATTAATTAATTTAATTTAATTAAATTTAATTTAATTTATTTATTTTTTTTTAAAAAAGTTTGCGAAAACAAAAATTTCATTTGTATTTACATAGTTATTTACCGATTAGAATATAGCGGGGACTTAATGTAATTTTCATTTTTGTACGTAATAAGAGAGCAATGTTTTTACACACACAGTTCAAAGTGCTTCTTTAAAATCTGAATTCCATTAACTTCGTATAGTTTATTTAAATGTCGAATAAAATGCAAAAAACGGTGTGTTGCAAAAATAGAATTAAACAAATTTGAATTTAAAAAACATTCTTGCGGAAAATTTATAAAATATGTGAATAAGGACGGGAACTATTAAGTTTATTTTAATTTTAAATCGCATTCTATTTGTGAATTATTTACACATCATTATTTATCTCGATAACAGTATAATTTATTAAAAAAAAAATAATTTTCATATATTCAGAAATCTATTGTTGTAATAGTAAATTGTTTTTTTTTAAAGATCAACTTTTTGCTCGGAAGCATTTTTTATGTTTTTTATAATAAGGTAAAAATTATGATTATTAATTATAATAATAAAAATAATAATAAAAATATTAATAATAATAACAATATTAATAATAATAATAATAATAATAATAATAATAATAACATTAATAAGTAATAATAATTATAATAATAGAAATAAAAATAAAAAAAAATAATAATAATAAAAACTGTAATAGTAAAAGAAAAAAATACTAATCAGTTATAAATTATAAGTTAATAATTTATGATTTATTGTTCTATAATTATTTATCAACTAATTACTTAAATTAATTATTATTCATAAAAATTCGTTCATAGAAACAAAGACACGTTTAATTTGTTTGAAATGTGACTTTTTATAGTTGAATAACACGATTTGTGCTGTATTATGCATTTTATTTCTTTTCTTTCAAAAATATATTGTTAGACAAATTTTATTATTTTATGAACAATACAGTAGATATAATTGTTGAATAGAAAATGTTTTAATATTTACACTGCAAAAAGCGAATTAATCAAGTATTATATTAATTATATATCTGAATAATAATTATTATTCAGTAAATATTTATTTTAATAAAACCATTAATATTCAATTGTTTATTAAAACTGACGATTTTTATTATTGATATTGTTTATTTATTTTATTATTTTTTATTATTATTATTATTATTATTATTATTATTATTATTATTATTATTATTAAACAAATATTTGTTTTAATCAACAGATAAAAGCTGTTTAAAAAGAATAATTTTTTTTCTCTATTCAAATAAAAATGATTTAAAAAGTGATTTAAATTCAATGAAACATTTGCTTAATGTAAACAAACCTTTTTTGATTATTTGAAGCATTTTCTTCTATATAACATTGAATCTATCTATATATTGATATATTGAGAAAAGTATTTGCTTTTTAAAGAAACGAAAGTTAATATTTGTACTATTAATCTTTCTTTTTACTATATATTAATTTATCTAATTTTGATTTGTGCAATTATAATTTTCTGTGTGACTTATAAAAATTAAATTTTAAAAATTCTAATTTTAACTTATCTTGTCCAACAAAATTTTTATTGACACAATTAAAATGAGGTTAAATCAACAAAAAGTTCTATTTTTATAAAAGAATTATTCCTTTCTGTTAAAAGCAAAATTTTTACCAGATTTTTAGTTTTTGCAAGCAAACGTTTTGTTTCTTACAAAATTTTCATATAAAGTTTTGAACTTTTAAGTAAATTAAATTGTTTTCTCTTTAATTTTTTAAAAATAAGTGAAATGGAAATTTATTGGTAATTAAACAATTTAATTTAACAATCAAATTAAAAAATTTAATTTTACAATCGAATTAAACAATTTAATTAAGAATAAATTTTTCTTTTAATGTACAAAATAATTTTTATAATAAAATATAGCAAATTAAATATAAGTAACGAAAATGTCGTAGATTTGAACGTTCCAAACTTAAGAAATATTCTTCAAATAATATTTTAACTTTTATTTCTGGAAGGAAAAATATTTAACATTTTTATTAGTATATTTGTTCGTTCATTTGACTAAAAAACTCTTAAAGTAATTCTTTTTTGTTTTAGAATCGAAGTAAAATTGTGCTTGAATCAACAAAGATATTCTGTTTTTTAAAAAATATTTTTTCTTTACCAAAAAAAGTAAAGAAAAAATATTTTTTAGTCAATGCAAAAAAGAAACAAAAAGAAAAATTTGCGACACAAATAGAAATTAAATGCTTTAGTTATGAAAACGCTTCAAAAATATTTCACTAAAGTTTCGAACGTTCAAATAAACGAATTTTCTTTTATAAATATTTTCAAAAATTTTTTGGAAGTGGCAGAAAATATTTTCATATGTTTAATTGTAAATTAAAAATTAACATATTTTAAAAGTAATTTTTTTAGTTTACAAAAATAATTTAATTAAAAATATACAAATTAACTGACTGCAATAAAAATTAAAAATTTAAATCGAACAATTTGAAACTTTATAAATAATTTTTTTATTCGTGACACAATATTTTTATAATGAGAGATTTGAATTTAAAAAATAATTTCCTCCCTAAAGTTTGGAAAGTTTAAATGAAAGACAAATTTTTTAATACTTCATTCAAACTTGAAAGTTTGTTATAAATTAATTTTTTGTAATTTAAAAGAATTCTTAACAAAATGAATTTTATTTTATTTGTCAATATATTGCTTTGTAATTTCAAAAAATATTTAAAATTGAAAAGAAATTTCGAGGACTTGAACGTTTAAATTTAAGGAAAATTATTTTTATTACTTCTTTTTTTTCAATTGAATTTGAATTTTACTATAAAAATTTTGTTTTTCGGATTTAAAAGATTACTGTTTAACTTAAAAAATAATAATCAATTACAATATTTTTCATTAAAAGTCTTGTAATTTTTAAAAATATTGTGACGGAAAAAAATGTTTTGTTTATAAACAAAAATTTGTTTTGAATTGTTTTGAACGAAAATTATTAAAATAATTATCGACATAAATATTTTCAGAAATAACTGATTGAATTAAAAATTGAAAACGTGAATTAAACATTTTTGAACTTTATAAACAATTTTTTAATACGTGACATATTATTTGAATAAAATTTATATTTATAAAATAAGTTAATAAATTTTATTCACTTGAACATTAAAATCTTTAAGATCATTAAATTTTATTGATTTAAATAGCATTGCGAAAACAATATATTTGAATCAAACATAATTATCTTTGTTATAGAGTGAAAACCAAAAATTATTTTTGAATTAAACATAATAATTTTTATTGAATAAAAATTACGTTTAATTCAATTATAAAATATGTTTAATTCAAACATTTTTTTTTGGTTGGCTACATTGTATTTATGTTCCTAAAGTTCTGAACGTTCAAATGAACAAAAATTTATTTACTTCTTTGTTCAAAATAAATTTTTATTGCAATAATTTTGCGTTCCTATAAAAAAAAATTAATTGAAAAGTTTCTAAATGTAAAATTTAAGTTTTTCAATTTTTTTTTAATTTTTAATTTCATCTTTGGTTTAAAAATAGTTTTTCTCAGTGAGTTCTCTTCAGATATGAAAAATATTTTTTCTTGAATAATATAAATAAATAATACAACATAATAAGCATAAAAAATTAATACAAAAATATAATATTAAAAAAATAACAGTAATTTTAAGTTTAAACACCTAGAAGCTTTCTCTCAGGAGATTAAAAATCCGCAGAATACAGTAGTGTGTTAAAGACGTAATAAATAATCAAGTCCACTGAACATATAACTCTCACAAAATAGAAATTTAGTTTGATGACACCTTAACGAGTTGTTCAGGTTCTAAAAAAGGAAAAGACAGTTTTTTTCATTCCCTCTAATATGCCATCTAATGGGAAAATAAGGAGTAGTTACAGAAAGAAAAGTGTTTTAACGTAACAGTACTTGAAACAAAAACGGAAACTGGATTAGCTGTGTATTACTTTTTTTTAAAAAAAAAGTATTATACCATTAAATAGGAATCTTGTTTCTTAACTTTTGTTACATATATATTGCGAACAAAGAAAATCGCGCGAAGTTTTATTTTTTTTTTTGCCTGAAAATATATGAATATTTTTTTTCTTCTCTCCAGAAATATATATTTCTGGCAGTAGTACAATTTATTTTTCTTTCTTCGCAACAATGAAAAAATTTTTCGAAAATAACTGTCCTAGACGCAAGGTCTCAGTTTCTTGTATGTGTATATATCACTACTAGTATTAGCATGTGATCTCTGGTCTGATATATATTTAATCACCGTGTAAATGACCTGGTGCAAGTGTTTTCGAACCTGTAGAAAATATTTTTTTTTCATTATGTACAGAACGAAATCCTTGCTTTTTGTGTGACCCTGTCTTTTTTAATGCGCATCTTGTGCCTTTCTCTCTTTATGATATATAGTTACATATTCATTTTGAACATTTG